ATATATATATATATATATATATATATATACATATATGTACATATAATTATAACTATATATACAACTATGCATATATATGCATATATTTACATGATGCGACTATATACAAATGTACGTGAAATATCTGATCCATATTTCAAGGCCTAATAAGCGCAGACCCAATTGAATTGGTCAATTGGTGGTAAACACGAAAGTACAAAAAGTGCTGCAGGTGAAAATTTCGCAATACCATCTAAAAAAAAGAGAAGAAGCTAAGAGTTTCTATGCGCAATTTCGTACAAAAATTTTCGATGTCTCTGAAACGCACTAATCGTGTAAATCGTCATTTTAAATTTAAAGTTTCAAGTTTACGGTTATCCCCAAAGTTATTTGAGCACTTTATACGTGAAATGAATGTGAGACGTTAAAAACCGAAAGCTATTATTTTTGCTTTAATGAGCGTTGGCTTATCGGCAAAAAACTAAAATGACATTTAAAAGAGAAAAATTATTAAAATTGTTAAAATTACTAAACACATTTTAAACACTTGCGCATTTCTATACATACTCGCGGCACACCTCTCTCCATTTAATTAGACCATTGGTGATATATAACCAAGAAAACGCAATGGGATTATTAAAAACTTGAAAAATGTTAAATAATCTTTTAAACGAAGCGGACATTACGTGAAGTAATTTCAAAAGGAAGCATACACGAAAAATCCAGAAAACAAACAAAAAAAGAAGCAATTTGCTGACGATTAAAAATAAACTGAACCGAAAAACTATTAAGAATAAACGGTACTACACCACATTATAATTCTACAGACACAAGCACACACACACACAAACACCCACACACGCGCGCGCGCACACACAAATAAAAAGAAAAGCTAACAACTCCAAATATTAGCCAAGGGGGGAGAAAGAAAGAGATATGGGGAGAGAGAGACAGAGAGAGAGAGAGAGAGAGAGAGGAGTAAATGAAATAAGAATGAAGCAATTGCCTTGAAAGCGAATTTTAGACACTCATCTCCTGCTATAAATAGTTACAGCTACTCCTTTTTTCTTTTTCTATACCTAAAAAAAAAAAGACTTTACTTGTAATGATTCTAAAACTCCGTAACTTAGATTTAATTCTAATTAGTGTGGATGACGGAGCGCTATAGAAACTTTGTCTGCAGTAAAAAAAAAAAAGAAAAAGTCAACTAAACCCGTGGCTATGTTTGCCCACTTATCAAAATTACGTGTCTAACTTTTACTAATATATGTTTGTATATTAATAAATTAGATAGATCAAATGTTTGTAATATATAGAAATATGCTTAAGAGATTCCACAAAATATGTTGAATATTGGAGCCGTTTTGGTCGATATCTGTCCATTTGTCTATGCGGGCGTTGAAATTATGTTACGCACTGGTTTCCAGTTTATTTCTATATCGATGTTGCGTCACGTTAAGTTCGTGGATGCATATAAATCGGCTTAAATGTCCTTTTTTCTTTCCCTCTAAAGATCGATGTCTCCTAATCGATTACGATTTGATTTTGTGATATGTAATTTCGTTAAAATGTTCAGCTTAAATATAATATTTGAAAGTTAGAGGTTCATCCATATAATAATAATGTATTTTTGAGATTTGAAGAATCACTTATGATGTCTTGCTATATTGCTGAAAAGACATTAATCGAAGTAAATGACAATGATTGTATATCGATTAAGCCAATGGATCAATCTTTCGCTGTATTCATCAATAACATCAAATATCTATGCGTAAGCCGTAGATGAATAGAGAATGACTTCTTCACATTTTTTTTTTTTTTTTTTTTGTTTAATAGGCTTTTTATTAAGTTACTATGGCTGCACTTAAGCTTTTTCATTGCTTATAATCTTCTTCTTATACCCATCACCGGAGGATGAGGAGTACGTTCATTTTATAAAAACGTTTGCAGTGCCGAAAAGCAAATCTTAGCCAGCATCAAATTCTAGATCGGTATTGAAATTTGATCAAATCGAACAAAGGACATGGCCAAAGCAGAATACAATCTAAGACCAGACCACCCCTGTTTTCGAACATGAAAAAAAGTAATCTTTTGCTCGTTACTTATAAACCACAACGTATATAATGATCAAAACTTGCATTTATATTCTATGAATGATCTTGACTGATGTGCACAAAAATTGAAAGAAAAAATCGAATACGCCTTCTCAATATTATTTTATTGAGAAATTTGCAGCAGCCAGAAGGAAACTTTACGCTCCCTATAAAATCTGTCTATTATTGATAAGCATTAAATTCATGCTGTTTGGTGTAAAAGATTCGGTCACGGTTGAATATAATTTTCTTACTTCCTTTTATTACCTAACTAGCTCAGTGCTATGACGGGAAATTTTACAATTTTCCCATTTACGCAAACGAGCAAGAGACCGAAAACTGATTGAAAATATTGCTTGCAGAAAATCATCACTTTCCGGTATGTTTTCATTATTATAATCATAAATTAATTAAAATTTCGTCGACAGAACGAATACAAATATTAAAGCTTCAATGATCGAATTGTCGATTTTAAGCAGCTGAGAGAAAACCAGAACAAATATTAGGACAGAGATCATATATCTTAGTATCTCAAAAGAAATACATTGGGAATGGATATTGCGTACTTATGAAAATATGCGTACACTTTCTTTTACCTTTTTACCTTGATACCTTAAGGATTTATGTATTTCATTTTATAAACGTTGATATGTTAAGTAATAAAAAAGAACGTCTACGCTTCCACATCAAACTCCTTTAACTCAATGGTATTGCATATGTAAAGATGTTTTAAGAGTACTTGTTCAACTCAAATTCAAATTCAAATTCAATTTTCAACATTTAATTAAGAATGTAACGATTTTGAGAATTTCAACAATGAATTGTCTTGGACGGACTGGGCTAAAGTGATTAAAAATGCTATAATAAGGAAGAATATACATAGATATGCGTATTGTTCTCATTGCACGCGCAAATAAAGTGAAAGAATGACATGTAAGAAAATTAAATTTGGTCAGGACCGAATCTTTTATACCCATCAACGTTTACCCTAAAAAAGGCAAAAGAAGTAAAAATTCTCATGCTCTATAATATGGAGCGGGCACAGTTGACTTCGTCTATTTTCAAACTAAAACTTTTTGTCGTAGAGGCGTGTGGGCGTTGTAGGCGCGACTTTTGGAAAGTTTAGGTCAATTTCAAATTCTTTTGCAAATTTTTTGGCCGTACCTTTGTTTTCGCCAACGGGACAATGTGTACCACAAATACTACTAAGTAAAGCAAAGAGACAGATGAACCGACAAACAGGCGGACATGTTTCGGTGCATTCAAGCGTTCTAACTGGCCAAGAATTTGTAAAATTTATGGAGTTTTAGAAGTTTGTTCCTGTGTGCTATAAAGGCATTGAAAAAATAATTCGATTTTGATACATTATAATATTGGCTAGGCGTCGTCAATTTTTCCCTTTTTTGTAAACAGATGCCACAGCATCGCCCATAGAATAAGCGTTCAAATTTTTGTACATTTGCTATAATTTATGAGTAATGAGTAAAAAACTAATTTTTCATTCCCTTTGAAAAACAGGTGTTCTCAGTATACGTTGTGTCGTAGACGTGTCTTGCGAGAGATTTTGCCTTTTTTCAGTACCAAGTTGCGTGCAAGAACTGCCAATGTTTCCGCCAAATTTGAAGCCGATAGGTTCGCTTTTGCAGCGAGGAGAATGTTTACAACAGATATTACACAGACGGGCAGACGGACATGCTTAAATGGATTTAGAATTTGATGTTGATCAAGAATATATATACTTTGTGGCGTCTCTGACGTTTCCTTATCGTCAATGCAAACGTTTTGAAAAAATGAATATACCCCTCATCCTTCGGTGGTGGGTGTAATTATATCTTCAAATGCCAGCTGCGCTTTTAAAACTATAAAAGAGGGAGGGGAGGAGCGAAACAAAATTTGTTTTTTTTTTTTAATTGAACAGATGTCGCACTAAATCAATCACTTTCTAATTATTGAAAAATAAACATGTACAACCTACTTGAAAAGCGGTTGTGGAACTGAAATTTGAAGATCACATCATTTTCATTGTTGATGGACAATGCTTTACTATTGTTCGCGACGAATTAATAATATTTTTAATTTTATGGCGCACATTATTCTCAACGCAGCACTAATGCCTCTCTTGTGTTTTAAACTGATTTGTAAACAAAATCCGTTGACGTTAATTCATAAACAAATGTACAAAAGGGGGAAAAGAAACGTTTTGTTTTCACCTCAGGCTTATTGTTAAATGTAAAGAAAAAAAGCAAAGCTAGAAAGAAAATATATTCGGCCAAGACCGAACGACAATACCACACACTTATTTTTGTTTTTTCTAATGGACAAATTTGAAAACTAACAAAATTGTGATATTACTGTAAAGTGTCAAACGCTGCTATGTAAGCATAGCTATGTATCGTCTTTTATAACTACAGTATAATGTATTAGGCAATCTAAAATATAACATATTAACATATTATTAATAGAGATCACTTTACTTAATTCCCAATGGGCCAAATTATAAATAAAATATATGTAATGAATAGCTTTTGAACTCGTAAGGATCTGCTTGTACGATAATATGTCACCGAATATATGAACTAATCCAACAAAAACGCTTAATAAGGGTACACGAAGGATAATAGGAAAACACGCCCGACGAGAAGGCAGACTTCAATTAAAACGAGGTTATTACTCGCATAAGGCTAATATATTTAATTTTCACATGTGCCCTAAATATGGGGTAAACTGTGGATGTATTTATATCTGTTTTGGAAACTTTGCAAACTGGCAAAATTTCCTTTTTATAATCTACACCACGACATGATAGTGATTTTTATACCCTAGAGTATTAAGCTTATCCGCCCGTCTGCCTATATTAATCCCTTGTGATCCTCAAAGTGATTCTGAATCGGTGTAAGCTTGTTCATTCATCTTGTCTTGCAGATCGCTATTTTCCAGATTTTTTAATTAAATATGGTATACTAATGTGCGTGCTTTGGCGCATAGGCGAACCCTATTGAAAATGTTTCTGATCGGATCGCGGTTTCGGCCACTGCCCAAATAACGTCTTATGATGATCGCTATGTAAATAAAGGTAGGATGCTTAATGTTGGACGGTGTGGTTCACATCTTAGATTTCCAACATTAGTGAATCTTATGATTTTAAACTTCTGTGATGCTTTGCTTGCATCCCGAAGCAAGTCTAAATCAATTGATCGCGATAGTCGGGTGCTTTCTATTTTGTATAAAGTTGGAATTGCAGGGCAAAGTAAAAACTCGCTTAAAGATTATAAATTTTCTTCAATAATTATTCTTTTTATAATAATTAACAGATTGAACACAAAAGAGTTCAATGATTTCTCGTTCCATGATGGTTTAAATTGTATGACCACTAGACTGCCGAATATTTGTGGCACCTAAAAACACTCGACATCGGAAAGATCGTAAATCAATTGAGAAATCCTGGTAATTAATTTAACATATATTGAATCCAAGGTAAAAGAATTTTGAAAGATGCAGAAATTTTGAATTTGTATTTTTAAAGATATTCTCTCCTGCGGCGTATTCAAATCCTTATTAGTGCCTGCAAGAACTGTTGACTTGATTAAAGGAACACTGACGATTTCAATAGATTTCTAAAAGCTTGCAATAAGGTTTTCTTTTTGGTTTTTTTAGTATATTTTTGGTATAATTTTGATTGTCGTCGTGAAGTTATTTTAATAAAATAACGAAAGAATCCATATACGTAAAGCGAAGTTAAATGAGCGAAGAATTCAATAAAAACACTCTCTATAAGGTGATTTTGATTAGCTTAAAATTCGTACGAACTTTAATTTCGTAGACGCAGGAATTGACATTTTTTTAGGCCATTTAATCAGAATTGATCATTTTTTTATTTTTATATTATACATTTAGTAATATGTAGTAATATGGATGTTAAATGGTTCGAGCCTAGAGGAATATAAATTTTCTTTGATTGCTTTATCTAAATGCGCAGCGCATTCCGAACATATTCACGCATATATAGTCATGCGTACCATGCAGTAGATGTTGAGTGCGTGCTTTTTAGCATAGTGAAATGTGAACGATAACGATTTTCATGTGCGTGTAAATGTGCAAATAATATTTATATATACATATAATCATGATCACTTGACTAATCAGTCATTCAGCGAATTGTGTGCGTGTTGCTGTTATATGATGATAGCAGTAGGAGTAGTAAAACAGTTTTTTTTTTACTTTTTGTTTTTGTTTTTGTTTTGTTAACTTACGCTTGTAATAAATCTCTTTGCGCTGTACTACCACCTAGAGACCAGACCTGACTCTTTTTCTGTTTGTTTGGATACGAAATTTTTTTATTTGTTGTATCATAATATCCTTTAGGATGACATTTACGTTTCCCCGGTATCCAAAGCGTACGTAATGCTGAAATCTTTTTACCGTTACGTGATGTCATCACAGCTAAATATATCGATTAAATATTAATTGTTAACTCTTTATAATATGAAAATTATGTATATATATACGTATATATATGTACATGCATATGATATAATATATATATATATATATATATATATAAATATATATAAACGTACGTTTTTATATATTATTTTTAAATTTTAATTAAGAAGCAAAAGCACTCAATTTAGATTTTATATAAGAGAATGACACAAAATTGCAACAGCAACCAGAATAGAGCAACACGACCACCTTAACTTCCATTGCGGTTAGCCCGTATAAGCACATAAAGAAGTCTATAAAATATTCAATGTGACATTCTGCGGCTAACTATGAACACGTATAAGTACGGATCAAATTTAAACGTAGTCGCTTTGTCATCGAATATATAGAAACAAGCGCATATACTCTACTTAATATATACGTACATAAATATAAGTACCTTTAAAAGGCATAAAGAAGCAGCCAGCTCTTTCCAAAACAATAAAAAAAGAGAGACGACAACTTTTAAAACGAAACCACACTTTCATAAAACATTTGGAATGCTGTCGGTCGTCTTAAATTTGTGGTTGTATGTGCATTTTAGTTCTCTATAACAAAGTATCGATACATACATATGTACATATATAAAATTACAAAGTCACAATATACATATTTAGACTTAAAGAAAAAAAAAATTGCTTAAAAAAGCATATTAGATGTCACAGATCTTATGATTTCATTAAGAAAGTAGTAAACGCAACAAATACCACTCAAGTCAAACTCGACACATCCATTCAAATACCACTTGTATCCACAACAGCAAGTCTATCGATTAGGTTTTATAAGGAATACTTTTCCCGACATATATAAGTTCCGTTAGCAGTTTTAATTAATTTCATTTAATTGTTGCGATTGTCAAACCAATAAAATTCTGATAAAAATTTGAAATTAATTACTGTAATTTGGCTTTACGAGCAGCTGTAATTAAGATTTTTATAAATTTTTGAGTTTGGTAAAACTGTGGAGATTCCAACTTTGCATAATGTTCACCTTGTGAACAATAGAAAAGAGACGAACAAAAAAATTTACCTTAAAAATGTTACGTGAAAAGTTCTGCATCGTAGACAAATTTGTGAAATTCTAATTAAAGACAATTTGGCCAAAAATTTTGTAATTAACATCTGATTCTCCTTTCTTTTTTTTTTTTTTTAAACGAAATATATTACTATTATGGTTTTAAAATTTTAATTAACTTTTAATAATAAAGTTTCCATATAAAGGAGTATTTTTCAGTAAAACTCTTATATGAATGGCAGATTGGGTTGTGAAAACTTCATCTATTTGGCTTAAATTTTTGCAATTCATTAATGGACTAACTGAACTTACGTGAAAATTAGACTTTTTTGCCGCATAAAGACTTATATGGAGAGTGGCTTAAAAAATCATCTAATCTAATCCAGTTTTAACAAAGTTCGTTCAGTATAGCAAATCTTCATCAAAATGTTTTAAAAATTGGCGACTCATAGATCGAAGATAAATATGCATAGGCAGACGTCAGACAAATGGTCGGACGAATAGAAAAGCTGAACCGATTCAAAAAGTAATTCTGATCCCTAAATTATTGTGGATGTGATATACATACATCCATCCGTTCAAACGTAATATCCACTACTCCAACAAGTGACGTGAGGTATAAAGTGTCATACAGAAAGGAAATTGTTTAGAGGTCTTGTGTCAGTTGAATACAAAAACGTGCGTAAGAAATTATCTGATGTATAGAAAAGTTCTAAATTATTTTATGTTCTTTGCAGAATAAAACTTATGTCAAATAGAAAATTGAGAGATAAAAAGTAGCAATCGTTATATCCCGATGATGATCGCATAATTGATTAGATGATGTATATTTATTTATTTATTTCGAATTGGTTACAAAAACATATTCCAAACTAGAATAAGTACAACTCAAGCCAAAACTTAAACTTAAGCTAATACTACTATTGATAATAATAATAATAATAGCAATATAAGAAACTATCTCACCGTTCAGTGCGCATTAATTACTGTTTTTACATTAACCAGCATGACAAAACAATTCATTATATACTACAATTGCAATTTATAACCATGTGCATTATAATAACAGTATGCTTTCAATTGCAATAATAGAATCAGCAAACTGATTGTTATAAAACCTACATAGCAAATTAAACGGACTTGCGGCAATGAAACAGTCTCAAAGGCATATATTGATTTAAAGACCGACACGGAACATTAATGTTGACAATGTTTAATAGATAAGAAGAGGAAAGCCAGCCAAATAGCAAAGGACATCTTAACGTTACAGTATATTAACCCAAGACGTCAGTTCAGATATTGGAACCTGTTTTACAATACGTGTATCGCAGTTACCTCATCAAAAGCATAAGACCAAGGACGCAAGATAGCTTGGAACGGCGGAAAAAGGTATAATTTTCCAAAAATTTACACTGACTTAATGCTGCTACTTAATAAATTTGCTAGCTTCCAGTAGTGTTAATATATGTTAATATAGTGGTTCTCTTTGCTGATAACATGGTTAAATTTATATATATATATTCAAATTTCTTGTATGCTTTGAAGTCCACGGTCGATTTTCTGGATATTCATCCTCAATGACAGCCTAAGCTTTTATTCATTCCCATTTTCATTACGTCAAGGCTTTTAAAGACTATCAGTGTGCATGTAACTTCATCAAGCTAATGACCCCCACAATCAATCCGGATCGCTTCAAAAAGAAAAAAAAAGACGGCAATCATTAATGCGTTGTAGCAGTGAATTGGCTCATACTTATGACATTGCACCCTTAATACCTGAAGATATTCTCAATGCTATTTGTAGTTAATTGTTTGTCTCTCAAGGGGTTCGAACCAAACCAAAGACTTGACTAAAGTGAAATGAAGTGAATTCTTCCGTTTCTAGAGAAAATTGTATTCTTAAAGCATGAAATTTCATGGAGCTTTCATATTACTATCAAAAATATTATATCATGTTTTCAGATCAACTCGACGCCTTCGTAGTGCTTTGCGCATTGTTGAATAGATATCCATGACAAGAGGAAATATCAATTTTTTTATGTGAAAGGAAAACTTGCTTTGTATTACAACAACGGCTACGACATATATGCCACCGATGGAGCCACAATGTATCTAGCTACTGAATAGTAAAGTGTTCATCTGAAGGATTCTTTAATATGAAACTGTTGGAAAAACTATCCCCAATCTTTATTGAATTACTTGACATCAGAGATGGGGGTAGCAGATTAGCCCTGCTTTTGATAGATGTTTGTATTATTATTATTATTATTATTATTATTATTATTATTAATTTCGCCAGAGAAATAAATTCTAAGACTAAACTCTTAAAGCACTATTATCTAAGGCTTTTATTAAAAACTCTGCCGCACTTGAGATCCGAACCCACGACTATTGAGTTGTTAGTCGAGATTCCTCGCCTTCAGCTACTCAGGCGGATAGATGTTTGTAATATATTAAGATTTTATACGAATCTTACATCAAGTATTGTTATTTAGCGTGGGTAGCGTACCTAGCTATTGGGGCCTCTTTTTAAATGAGAAAATTTAATTTCTTGGATGGAAAGCGAAAATTTTCTTTTTGAAACACTCTCCCAAAGAAGCGATAATGAGGGTAATTGGAAAATTCAACTTTCAATCCGTAAGCAACGATCGTAAAAAATTGCCCGTGACAAAAATTGTCATTTCTTATACACGACCAATACGACTCTTAAGTTTAAATTCCTGCCGGGGACAGGCTTCAACTTCTAGGACATTTTTTTTACAGATGCATATAAAATATATTTAAAAATGATATCTATGAAGATTGCAATGCAGAAAAATCTACTGAACACCTCATTTTTATGAGGTATACAAAATTTCAAGATAACACATTCAAATACGAACTGCTGAAGCACATATCAAACATCGTCAAATTCAAATCTTTTCTTTAAAATACGACAAGATGTTGCTGCCAATGTAATATTAGAGTATGCCTGAAAATAAATTCGAATTAACATTTTATCGTTAATTGGGGACGTGTTAGCAAAGCCGAGCGGCGTTATTTTTGAACTTAGCATAACGACAGATAAAAGTTATCGGCGAAAATATATTAGAAAAAGGCGGTATTTTGCTGAGACTGTTTTTTTCTTCTATATCGTGCGTACGCTCGCATTTGAGTAATATTGTGGGCATAGGTCACGATTAGCCTTAAAGCGAATGCACAGCAGCTTTTTCTTTATTTACCTTTTTAAGCAAGATACATGAGAATTAGTATAAGATGGTCGAGTATTTCTTTTCATGAATTATGTCATTATTCGAGAAAGGGCGGTTAAGTGGGCGTCATGCAATTGGTTTTGTGATTAATTGGCTTTTTCGAAACCAGTTCTCTACAGCAGTCTTTTAAATTTTTTTTCCTTTTTGTGTTATGTTGATCACCTTGACCATGAAGCATATATCAAATGTGGACAACAATCTATTTAAGCTTATTATTAATCGCTTATCTTCTTTTATGCTCACGCACTATGTACGAAGGTATTTTGTAATCATCGAATACATATATAACATTTCATTATTGCATTTCATTAACATATTGGAAATAAATATTTTATTTATGTATGTACTTCGAACGAGACCAGAATGTGTTCGTCACATTCTATTAAAGTTAGGTAAACATCAATATTGCATCTATTGAAGCAAATACATTACAAAAATATTGAATAACTTGAATGTATGATTTTACTCGCGCGTATAAGCACATATATATATACAAAGCACATATATATATATAAAGATCGCATTTTATACGTAAAACGGTGACAACAGTCGTCGTTAAATCAGATGCGCAAGCATACATAAATAGCAATTTGCAATAACTATGAATAGAAATTACATACACGTTGCCCAACCAAGCGATGTGACTTGCTGATGAGTTGCTTTAATTTCGAGTCATCATCATTATAAACTGCGT